CCAGTCAAACATGGAATTAGTGATTACCTAGTAATCAATCAATTGTTAACATCTCAGTCGTACATGAAGTCACTTCAGATCCAAATAGCTCAGTGTAATATATTAGACCGTGAATTTATGCCATCAAGGTTCAAATTACACAGGGAATATCAGTTCTCTAAAGATTGCTGGTACGCTTTATTGATGAATGACAACTGGAACAAAATCTAAGCCTATGTTTTTCTATTGACTATTTTCAAACAATTCACAGTTCACGTTTATTCCACTATGGTGTTCTTAAGAAATTCTAAGAAATTAAACAAAATGACAAAGTAATAACACAACTACGAATTTAAAAGGGGTAGATTTTATCAAAAGAAAATAATTATTTACTGACATATTTCTATGAAGAAAAAAAATACTCTTCTTGCATTCGAACATCATATTTACCCAAAGTAAATTGTCATTTATAAGAAAATGATTACAGTGAGTAATTGATTCCAATGCGGAAATTTTTTTAGTAAATAGTTGGAATAATAGCAGCGATAGGCTATCTGTTAGTTTCATCTGATGTATATATATACGTTCTGGGCAAAGCGACTAGTGTACTCGACAAAAACTACATATCTAAACACTAATCGATATAAGATAATCATCATTATTTAGAAATAAAAATAAGATAAAAGAATGAATACTAATTAAGATTGAAGTAGATGGTTAGTGAAATGGTTCTACAGGAATATAACGACTAAGAAATGCGATGGAATTGTCCTATTGATCGACATGAATCATGCTAGAAAACTCAAACTTCTTAACAGTATTTGTTATTCGTACTGAGATTAACCAAATAATGATTTCATCAAAATTATGGAGCGGTATAAATTAGACCATTATTGAAAACTTGTGAGCACTAGATGTGAGTTGCATGTTGGTATGGAACTCCTCAGTAGTTCAAATTCATGGTTCTGCACGTGGGACTCAGACTCAGGACCATTGGTTTTGCGCGCGGCATCCAAGGATATTAATGCCTTGCTTCAATCATAGGACTAAATGCCAGTGCAGTGCTTCTAGGTTCAACGTAGATTGGTTTATAAATTCAATGGAATTCGAGAATATCCACAACTCTATACCGTAAATAATGGTTCTTCGTTAATTAGGGCTCTACTCATCAATCTAGTTTTATGGTACTATTTGGATTATTGGATTTCAAATTAATATAAACGCTTGAATCCTGATAATACATACAAAACGGATGTATATTGCAGTAAGTTGCGTGACTAATTATAAAGATAATAACTACTGGAATCTAAATGACTGGTTTAATTATCTCGAGTTTATCTCTGATTATATGTAACCCAGACAATAGACTTTTATGGGTCCGACTTGTAAATTAATTACATTGTGTTTTATTTCAATAAATCAAACTGCCTTAGTTATGAATGGCTACTTAGAGAAGCTAGCTACAGTAACATTTTTAAGGAATGTTAATCATTTTCTTGTCTAAATTTGTCAACTTTTCTTTGTTATATTATGTATGGTATATATATTATATATTTTATATTATTATGTCACTATCATAGACCATTCTATCTTCTTACGTAATTGACCATTGTTCTTGACTAGAACCACTGACTGACAATAATTGCTCTGTGACTGATTATCCCTTGACTAGTATAGCTTGTAGCGAATGCCGCTTATTCTATTGAGATTTATACCCATTCAGACAAATTATAACTTACTTTTTATAAGAATGTATTAGACAGGTAGGAATAAACATTAAGTTTGGAAAGTAAAAGTGAGTGATTAATTTTGTTCAGTTTATGTTATGTAGTCACAATACGTCAAAGCTGAATCTGAGTTTAGATCAAGTGTCGCGTGTTTAGCTTGGATCCAAACACTTAAATGCTAACTATGAAAAATATCTGAAGTTAGTAGGAAAATGTGTTTATTCGTGTGTCTATTTATCCAGTGAAAGGTAGAAAAAAAGACGTCAGAGATAACGTAGATAACAATAGACGTGTCAGACTCTCTCACCAACCGTCATCGTAAATTTTATTTAAATTGCATATGGCGTCACTAAAACACCAATCTGACTAAATGTGAATATTGTTTGTAATGTAAATAAATGAGAACAGAAGTAAAAATATAAAGAAGAGATTCACCAAGACCTAATCGAAACAGTAAGTTCACAAAGGTCACCAGACACAAACCTACCTTATCAGATTCATTGGAATTAGCATAAAATAGAAGTCATGTATTTTTATTACAAACAAAATGTGGGTACCATATAAATGACAAACTAAAATAAGCATGACTTAATGAGATTAAAACATTGATTTTTCATAGAATTTGGTTTTTGATTGAGATCATGAATCGACCTATAGACCACTGGTCTAAAAGTTAAGCGGTCGTGCGCGACACCGGAGGTCCTGGGTTCGAATCTCGCGCGCGGGACTGTGGATGAGCACTTCTGAACAGTCCCATACTAGGACAAAATGGCCGTCCAGTGTTTTCAGGTCTTCGTTGGTGATCTATCATTGATCGATTCATGATCTCAATCGAAATCTCAAAGATCTCCACAACCCCATACTGATAATAAAATTAGTATTTGGTTAGAATGTAGTCTGATAGTCTGATAGATAAAGTGTATTAAAAACAGATATAATGTTACTGATCCTCCTGGTATATAATCCTGGTTAACATAAGTGTAAATAAAGGAAATTTCTAACAGTGCGTGAATTAGACTTTATGATATTATATCATAAAATAATCTAACTGTTTGACTGAGACTTATTGAATATACATACTTCCTGGTTAGAATTTGTTGGATTACAATATTGTCTGTGATTTGAGGCTTTCCAGGTGATATCGTATTAAATCCATTGAAATTGTTTAAATCCACTTTTCGTCTAAGTCTAAATCTTGATTTTTATCACATAGTTTTCATTATCAGGCTCTGTTTTGCCTATTAAGAATAGATAGATTGTGCCCAGCAGTGAAATTTAGACACACATTTTGTCACATTTTTAGAATTTTCAGCCTGATTTACCTGAATGCTGGTACTGACGTTCACGCCAAAACTCGAACCCGATACCCTTCTCTTCGAACTTCCAACGCGTTAACAACTGATCTGTTAAACCCAAATAGCTAGAAGCGTTTTTGATGGCTATGACATTTATATCATTACTAATGGGCTCACATTTTAATAAAAAAATCAACATTAGGATCCAGAGACAACCAGACAACAAATCCAAAGTATGACGAAACGTGCTTCCTGAATTACATAGTTAACCACAATTCATCCATTTAAAATAACTCGCTATGAAATAGACATGTTGAAATAATAAACCTAGGAGCCAATTAGAAGTAGCCTAATGAGAAGTTCAATCGATGGAAATCAGAAGTGGCCTAAAGAATAAGTGAATCTCATTGGCTAAGAAATGGATCAATTTCCTAAGGATTAGATTGGTACATATATGTAAGACTGTATTTTATTCGGTAGCCCCATACGCTTTCTCATCCACTACTGTGTTCTCGCTCAACTAGTCCGTTGGGGGTTAGTGCGTAGCACACCGTGTGTCAGTATCAGATTTTGGACACCGCCCATCTCAACAATAAGATTGTTGTGTTTATTTACCTTCTTTTTATTTTTACCTCGTTCCTATGATCATTGTCTATCTATGTAAAATATGCCATTCTGTGTCAATAAACATCTATATCAGGTTATAAATTGTTTATGAATGATTGACTGGAGAAAGAAGCGATTTATCAGTAGAATAAAATCTTGAATACATTATTTGTTTTTATTTCTTCAATAGTTTAAGAAGGAACAAAACATTATCACTAATAAATGCCGAGTGGTTAATGTTGTCCCAGTAGAATTTATAGTTTTAGGTATTTTGTGGTTATAGACAATCTTCCATTTTGTTGGTGATTTGATTAATATTTAAAGCTACAATATTCTGTTCAATCAAACAATTATAAATTGGAATGAAATCCATATCTTTTGAACAAATGGGTAGTTATATGAATTCACTAGATAAGTGGAGTTCGCCTTGAACATCTGAAGTTTAAGATATTAGATTCAAGTTCTTGTGTGAACAGTAGAACCGAGATGCAAGTACACCCAATTAATGAATGCCAAATAGAAAGGAAAGTTTGATGTAGATTCCACTACTTGTTAATTTTCATCTACTTTACAAAAGTAGGTTTATTAACTGTTGATGAATTAGCAGACTACGTTCACTGGAAAAGCTTTGAACCAGAAAAATATGAAATTAAGATGCTAGTTTTATTACCAAAACGTCTTTATTTTGGATAACTGTTGAAAATATCACAAACGTATAGTGTTATTCAGTTTTATATTAAGTTGTTTTCCCTATTGTTGAAACAAGAAATACCAGATAAACACCAAAGAGCTGTTTTGTTTTGGATTTTACCTTCCTAGAGATATGCATTCACGGGAAAGTTATATAACGAAAAGCTAAAAATTGGATAACAAAGTAACTGCATCACCATCAAACTGCTGAGTTGAAATTCTATTTTGTACAATTCTAACTTAGGATTATGTAAAGATTCCTATCAGTCACTTTTAACCCTTTGTAAAAAATTGGTATGATTATTTCTGGCCAAATATTTATTGTTTGTCTGTTTGCTTGTTTGAAAATTAGTGGTTTGCATTATTTCAGTAATGTAAGAAAATGCTCACCAATTTAAAGAACTATTGATCATTTTTTGCTTTGAAACTTGGTACTACTTATAAAACTCATAATTACCATGACTAATACTAAAAAAAACTATTCAGTCAATATTATCAGTCTGGTTTATCCAAATTGACAATGATTTTCTCATGGAATTCAGAAAATTTAAGATGTATTAAATGTATAGGAAATTAGAAAAATAATTTTATTTCCCTTTGATTGGTTTATTTTCCCTAAATTTTAATTGGTTAACATCAACTGTTTTATTTGGAATATTATTGGTTAAGAGGAAAAAGTTGATCATATTACTATAAAACAGAATGGTAATAAAAGGCATTCACAATACCATCGTTTAATTATTTCATATTTAATACGACAATGGATTATTATTATTATTACTATTACTATTATTACTATGATCATCATTATCAGGATAAAGTTGAAGTTAGAGGCTAGTTGAAACATTATGCCACGAATAATATTAAGTTGGATACTTTTAATATGGATTACATGTGCTTTTTTGTCTATTCTAATCACGATTTCAAGTTTTCTTAGTCCATATTGGTTAATTCGTATTGAAACATCAGAAACACGCCGTTTAACAGCATGTCCACAAAATAATCTCTTTGATACTGTTAATAATAATATTGGTACAGATTTATTTACTATAAATTCCAATAGATCAGACAATGAATTCATACAATTAATAATACCACCATCTATTGGACCATGGTTTCGATGTCAGAGTGTGTGTAAACTTTCAGATTCTGATAATAATAATAATAATAATAATGATAACAATGTATTGAACTGGGAACTTTTTGATGACACTTTATTTAAATGTCAATTATCAGTGTGGGGATTTGGAGCAAAACCAGCTATTGCAAATAAATTAATATGGTTATCTGGATTAATTAGTATGATTGGATGTTTTTTATTGTGTATATCATTCATTTTTATATTATTAACTCTATGTAAACGTGAAATCTGTGATCATAGTGTATTTAGCTGTACTGGATCATTAATTGGTAGTGCTGGTGAGTAGACTGTTTGGTTTTTATTATACTTATATATATATATATATATATATATATATATATATATCGATCTGGAAACAGCATCATTCACTTAGTTTCCCCGGTTTCAAGTAGCCAGAAAAAAAACAAAGTAGATCAGTACAAAATGAAATCTGGGCTCTTTTCCTAAAGCGTGTAAATAACATACAAATCCTTGTAAAATGATTGATTACCTGATTTATTGTTATTATTCTTTTTCATTTTTGTTGTTATTATTTTCATTGTTAGTGTGACTTGTATTTAGTCTAGCTGTCTCAGTTCATTTTCTATATCCTTAAATCAAATGTTCATCTAAATTAAAGTTGTTTTTTTTTGTTTGGAAATGTCATCATCAGAAAGTAATTACTAATTTTATTATGCTCTTAATATTATTAAAAATAATAAGTAAAAATTATAGATTTACTATGGGGAGTTTGTGAAGGTTGATGAATTTCGTAGTTTACATGAAGGATCGATCTTAGTCAGGCAATCATTGAAAACCTAGAAGCACTGAATATCTGTTTCGTCTTGGTATAGAATCCTTCAACGGTGAACACCCACAACCCGACAGGAGATTTAAACCAGAACTGTCAGGTCTTGAGGTGAGCTCTCAACTTTTAGACCACTGAGTTGATATCCAATGGTTTACACTTCCATCAATTGGCGATTTCGACTGTCTAACTAAGATTAATCAGTGATGTCCTGCTTCGGTTTGGGCACCCGGCTAGTATTACAGCCCTCACACATATCAAATGAGATTTTTGTGGCGCATATGTATTTGGTGCCTCCTTGTACCAATATCTATGTGTTAAAATAAATAATCAGTGATGTAAACTACAAGATTTAATTGCGAGTTTATGCGCAATTGATGATTCATTATCAAACTAAACTTGAACTGTGCTAACATCTAGAATAATTAGGTTCAAACCCATAGATTTACATGTTAAATAGGTTAGAAAAGTTTCATTGGAAATTGCTATGTTAAAATTTCGTCTTGGCCCGTATGATTTATTTGGATAATCCAATGTAGAGATGAAGCTTATTACAACTATTTAATATGTATATTATCTCCATACATTTCGAAAAGTCTGGTCACACATGAACTTGTAAATTTATTCATATGTCATAAGTACAGATCAAATCAGACAATTGGAACATGAAAAAATAATACGACAATAAAGAACAAACGATATGAATCATATCACTGTGAATATTAAATCACTTTTTGTCAGGTTGCATTTAGTATAATAACCAGGTTCTCTCAACTAATTTTTGAGTTAAAAACAAATCGGGCAATGAAATTGCTTTTTTTATTCATAATGGCAAAGTTACATTTTGTTGTGATAACAAAAATGGACAGATTCTTGTATTGGATTGAGGCCCGTGTGATCGAGCAGTCGTACTATCTAGTTCGATCATTGGTTATTTCGCCTATATTGTTTGCAGGATATATGATCTATTTACCAAATGGCACAATTACCAATGAACAGTAATCAAGACCTTAAATATCTATCTGTCATCAAGCTACCTTCAACTCAGTGTTCAATCTGAAGATGAAAATAGAAAACAGATTTATTCTCTATTGTACTCTATTAGATCATGACTGAAAACTTATACATTAATATACACCTCACAACTACACAAATAGAAAATTAACATGTAAACACAATTCAGTCATAAATGATATAAGACGGGATTAATAGGGAAATGATTAATGTATAGTGACAATAGAAAGTGTTAGCGGGAGATAGACTGGATTAAAGCATGCTCAATGCACGATTGCTTTGCTGCACGCTGATTGACTAATTCTTATGCAGTCAGCGTTAGTGAATACTTAGTGAACACTCTAGAAACCTTCTCATGTGAAGAACTATAAATATACTGACGTTTTCCCTATTGTGCTTCGTACTTCCATCTAACCTTGTTATTTGGAATATAGTCTCTCTCCTGTTCAACCGTGTTCTGATTTGGGGACTTGTTGAGTGAACGGGTGTCTGAGAATACTAGCAATAGGAATAACTGGGTTATAACCGTAAGAGAGAAATATAACAGAAAGTAAGAACAATAGTTTGTTGGTCAAACAAAAGCTTGGAAATAGATAAATAAATAAAAAACTAAAATAACCTAAGCGTCTAATAAGCATGCAAAACAAATGTAGGCAATAATTTCCTGTAACCTACTTCGGAATGTTTGAATTTCCCAAAATTCTCTTCGATATGAATAATTGTATGAAGATAAAAATTCAATCAACAGAATTTTTTGGGTAATTCCATTTGGTATTTATGATTCTAGAAATGACTAAACAAAAACTAGGTCGATTATCACTTAATTTGTATTTTTTAATTTTGCAAACATAAAATATCTATCCCCATTCAAATTGTTTCCTTTTTATAAGTTATAATTTCAGTTCAATAGAGAAATTTAAAAAAAAAATTTATTTGTATTCATAAACGTAACTGTAATTGTTCATAGTACATATATATATAAAGACCTAAGCTTCATGGTGGTCACGACTCGTTAGTAAGGTGTACCTACAATGTTTAGCACATTGATGCTCCTTACACGATTTGAATAAACGTCAGCACATCTAGGATTAAAAATATGTCTGGCTCACAAATGGTAGCTAACATGTAATCTAAGTCCAGAATTACCTATTGATTACCTCTGAACACCTGACGTTGATCGGCCCTATGAGATAGAAATGCGATAAGTGAATTTTCACTTTCTAGATGTCTCTGAGGAACTTTTAATGAATGCTAATTAAATAAGATGTTTCCCAGAGTTTTTAGGGCGCCTTTGGGATTTTTTTGAGGAATTTTGTGAGTCTACTCAACAGATCTATTTTACCATTAGTATCATTATCATTAGCCTTTTAAGGTTTTGCTATTAATAATCTCTTGATCAGTTTTTTTTTCAATGTGACAGACTAAACTGACACATAGTTATTTCTAACCATTATGTTATTTCTGTACCTAAAACGGAAACGGATATTCGGACAAATTCAAGTCCAAGAAGTCTGTTTTAATTACTAACAGATATCAGCTAATAAACTATTTAAAACTGAGAAGTATTTAATACCTATGTTCGTTTTGTATGACTGAAGATGGGAATTCTTTATCATAGGATTGCGAATGATGGAACTGATCAGATATAAAGGGTCTTAGGTGTTTAATACCAAGAAATTCCCGACTTGAGACTAAACAAATGTCTTTGAATTTCGAATTTAAATGATTCACAAGTTGATAAAAGTACTTGATTTAAAGAAACTTAAAAAGTTAGAATTCTCCAGAACGACCTTCATTTATATAACTACTAAATAAATACTTCAGTTTCCATCATAACATTCAGTAACGTATAGAAATGCCTATTTAATAAGAAAAAGGGCTAACATGACATGTTCTACATATAGATCTATAAGAATAAGAGTCTAATACTATTTTGAAATAAATAATAAAACAGAATTTCAATCCTGGAATGTGAACCTAACAGTTTTGTCTTATTCCATTTCCAAAGATCATTGCCACCAAACACTTTCGATCCGATCTATGTGAACAGAAAGAAAGTGTGATAAATCTCTTGTTGTATATTAAAATAATTATAGTCATATAACTCTACCAATTGTGTAATCCTTTTTTAATTATATCTAAACAATCCGACAGCATTCAGTTTTGACTTTAATTGTAAATCATCTATTTTTCTGGTTAGCGCATTTTTAGCGAGTTAGTTTTCTACGAGATAGGGTCGCTAACCCCATGCCCAACCTTCCTCCTTTACGCGGGTTTGGGACCGGCAGTAGCCTCCTGGGGGGGCCAGGCGGAGTTAAATCATCTATACATCTCGATCATAAAACCATTTATTTTTGAGACTTTTTTCATATGATTTCATTTTCCACATGTAAATCATTCATCGATTTTTACTATTATATGTTTAGTGTCAGATTTGGTGATTTTTTTCTACTGTGATGATTTTCTCCCCAGTTTTGAACATCGATCTCAACTTCACTGACTAGAGTATACAAAATTGTATTTAGAAGAATGTGTTAATATTTATAACTTTAGAATGTTTACAGTTGATCTGAAACCTTAAAAGTTGATTCATTGTATTCTATGCTATAACAGAAGGAATATTGGGAATGTTATTACTCTTGGCTCTATTCTCCGTACTATTATTATTATTATTTGTATCCATATCCCCTTTAGTGTAGGCTTCTAATGGACTTACTAGCTTTTATTATACATTTTACTATTCCTTCATTATTGCTAATTAATTAGATACTATTTAGTTCACTCTCTACCACTTATAGTATAATTGTGCTTAAAATATGATTTCTTATTTGATATATTGCATGGTCAGGCATTCTCTGTATGGTATTGTATGAGCTTTTAACCATAATCGAATCGGATAAAATAAAGGACTAATCTGTCACCTATCAACGTTTTCTGACTGACCAGTGAATTAGAAGGGGACTCGATCACCAATAGACGTTAAGTCCTTGGTTATCGTTTATTAGGCAGTTTGTAAGTTTGTGAATTGGTTAAAGGTCTGACTGAAAATATAGAGCATGTGATATCGGTTAGGAATTCACATGCCTTAATGAAACCCACAATCAGTGTCCTTCATTCAAGATATAGAATCCTGTAGATTTTTTTTGTTCTTGGTTTTGTTTAATGCTTTTATCGATCAACTTGATCTAGCCAACGTTAATATTCTTTAACTACCCAAATCCTCTAATAGGTTTATGGTTGAAACTGAAGAACAACTGCTTTAAAGCTAAGTTAATCTGAATGAAATTAACTGGTAAAGTTTATACCAATATTTATAAATATTTTATGATTGATGTTAAAAGTAACTATGAATAGAGATCGGTTTGGTTACTGATCTAATCTTTAATTATTCAAGTTAACCTACTTAACTGTTGATTAGTTAATTAATTAACTAATTACGTGTATGTATAGGGATAATATATTACATGTTGATGATTG